GGAGGACAAGGAGGCCGTCTTTGATGTCGTAGACACCCTGAATGCTGTGCTCCAGGTTGCCACTGGAGTGATTTCCACCCTCCAGGTAAGGATTCATCCTCTCACTATGGAACATGGGGCACATGCTGTGAGTAACTCAGGGGACAGGTCTCCAGACTGGTCCTAAAATGAGAACTCTTTGGTGCCTCACCCATAGTGCTCATTCTGGTCCCTCTTAGAGCTAATGTGCCCCAAGGAGGAGCTGATGACAGATAACATCTGCCCTTCCTTTCTGCAGATCAACAAGGAGAACATGGAGAAGGCACTGAGCCCTGAGATCCTGTCATCTGATCTGGCTCTCTACTTGGTTCATAAAGGAGTAAGTGCCAGAGGGAGAGCTGGAGTTGGGATTTCTTTGGATGCAGAGAACTGCTCAGTGAGGAGCTGGGATGAAGCCCCTCTGTTCTGTCCCAGGGTCATGAGCAATCAACAACCATGAAGGCTGAAAACACATCCTTTACATGCATCTCAGGCAGTGCTGCCTGGGGGACTTCACAGTAATTTACACCCAAATTACTTGATCATAATTTATTCTTAAATCCTCCCTTCTTCCACCCCAGCACAGCCAGATTGAGCATGCATTGCCCTAAGGGAAAACAGGCCAGCCAAAACAAATAGCACATCCATTTTCCTCGTGGAAAAGCAGCCCAGCTGCCTGGTCACTGAGTGCCACCTCTGCTTCCCCCTGCAGATGCCCTTCAGACAAGCCCACATTGCTGCTGGCAAGGCCGTCCACCTCGCCGAGACCAAAGGCATCACCATCAACAATCTCAGCCTGGAGGACCTGAAGAGCATCAGGTTTGTATCTCTGTTATTTCACTTCCCTGCACAGGCAGGGCTCAGCCTCCCTGATCAGCCTGCCCCAAAGTTCCTGGGCTGGGCAGCACCTCAACATCCTGAGTGTCAAGGCTGGGATGGGGGACACTGGAGGGGGACACCACCACCTCCATTCCACTCCAGCAGGGCATGGGCAGGAGCTGTTGGGAGGGGCTGGGAGACACTTCTGCCCTAAGCAGGAAACCCCCAGAGGGGTTTGGCTCTGAAGTTTCTCGGTGGAGCTGATGTCAGACAGCAGAATTGCAGGAGCGTTTCCCCTGGGGAAAAGGCTCCGTCCTCACTCCCTCAGCCTCTCCACAGACACTGGGTTTGTGAGGCAGCCCAGACACCCCTGACACCCCCCCCCCGTGCCCCCAGCCCCCTGTTTGGCAGCGATGTGGCGCAGGTGTTCAGCGTGGTGAGCAGCGTGGAGCAGTACACGGCCGCGGGCGGCACNCCCCCCCGTGCCCCCAGCCCCCTGTTTGGCAGCGATGTGGCGCAGGTGTTCAGCGTGGTGAGCAGCGTGGAGCAGTACACGGCCGCGGGCGGCACCGCCAAGAGCAGCGTGTCCGCCCAGATCGAGCAGCTGCGGGAGCTGCTCAAGAGGCTCAAGGAACAGGCTTAGAGTGTGGGGAGAGATGCCGTGCCTGCAGCGTTGTGCCTGTGCCACTGATCTGGAGTTAATAAACACTGGGGTGTCTGTAGTTCACTGAAATTCTGCTCTTCTGTCTTGATTTTTCGGGGTGAGGATGGGCTGAGCTCAGCCCAGGTTTGAAAGGATTGGGCTGTTTCTCCCTTGGAGATGGGGATGTGTGTCTTGCTGGGTTTGTCCCTTTTTACTCAGCAAAATTCCTGTCCCACCCCAGCCTTGCAGAGCTGGGGTTTTGCTCAGCCCCTTCTCCCCGTGCTGAGGCAGCAGCGTGTTGTTGACTCAGAGCTGCAGGTCTGGGACACACACAGGGAGCAGCAAGAACAAAGGTGTTGCCTCACCAAGGGCTGCAGCACAGGCAGGACAAACTGCCAGCAGCTAAATCTCTGTCCCAGGAGACAGAGTGCTTGCACCTTTGGAAGATTTATGTTTTTAACACGTGGAAGAAGGATCAGCAACAGCAAAATTCCCTTTTTTTTCCCCAACTTCTCACCACTCTCAGTCTCTCCTTATTCTGGCCTTAAAACAAATCCATTCTCTTGGCATTTAAACAGCACATTTCAATTACCTTTCTACAAACCTCCTTTGTGTTTGCTCCTTTCCTCCTGCTGTGTTCTTGTTTTGGCTCATGTCTCACTCTCCAGACTGGTCACCTGTGGCCAGGAAATCACTTCTGCACACTCAGCTGCCAGGCTAAAGGAACAAGAAAGCCACAGATAACACAAATACCTGAAGAGTCAGAAGAACAGAGACTTCTTCATCTCCCCCTCACAGTTCTTTCTCCAACACTAAACTTTCTTGATCCATACCATTCCCCTTATTTTTCCTGTTTGTGTCTTCTGGTTCCTTCTCTTCAGATGCTCAGCTGAAGAGATTTTCTCTGGCTCCCAGCAGCAAAAGTCTGGTATTGTCCCTCATGGCCAGTGCTGGGTGACACAGGGCCAGAATGAAAGGAAAAGGGAAGCAGCAGATTGCTACATTTTAGTGTCTTACTTAAATAAGTAGTTTACAGTCACTGGTACTTCCCACCCATCTACCGCTTTATTAAAATTGTGAAATATTTTAGATTAGAGGGGCCTGTGGAGCTCCACAGACTTTACAGAGTGTGGTCCACAACGTCTTCAGGTTTTCACCATCACCCTCTGACTCATTGGGATTTGGGTTTTGGTCTCAAACCCCTGCTCATTACAGGCCATAGGAAGGCATTTGAGCCAGGAATTCACTTAGGCTGATTATCAGCTGGGTCATTTTGGATGTAAATCTCGTGCTCACCATTCTTACAAGCTCTTAGCAACTTCCTGTCATAGCCTGAATTATCCATCCATAAAGGATGAACATGAAAAAAAGAAGCATTAAAAGTGAGGGAGTCCAGAAAAAGAAGGAAACTGGAAACAAAATGGTTCAAAGAGTTTTTTCTCAGTATAGACAGTGTGATGGTCTGTGCATCCTCAAGCCTGGAAGTCTGAAAGAGAAAAAGAAATAATCATGAGTGGAAATGTTTGAGAAGCAGTGAATTAATTGGCGGCTACATACAGAGTCTGAGCCTTGCTCTGGATGGATACTGAGGGCACTACACTGGAAATCCAGCTGTGAAAGGACCTTGTGGGGCCGCCAGAGGCAGCTGGATGTCACCAGCAGTGTCCTGCTGCTCCAGACAAGGACACAAGGACCGGGACTAGGATCCTTCCCAGCTGGATTATGACACTGGGGCTGGTTAAAGGACAGCAAACCCCGAAAGGGGACAAGGAAACGGGGATGTCGTTCCTGTAAGGCACAGGGACAAGCTGTGGCACCGCACAGCAGGAGCAGAGCGGGGCTGGCCCGGGGACTCCCCGCCCCGCGGGCGGGACGAGCTGCGGGAGCGCCGCGAGCGCGGCCGGGAGCGGAGCTGGGACCGGCACTGGGACTGGGCTGCGACCGGGACTTCAGCTGGGATCGGCACCGAGATTGGAGCTGGGACCGGGAGTGGAGCTGGGATACGGATTGGAACTGGGATCAGGATCGGGACAGAGCTGGGATCGGAACCGGAGCTGGGATTGTGATCGGGACAGGGAGTGGAGCTGGGCTCGGAACAGGGTTTGGAGCTGAAATCGGGACAGAGCTGGGTTCGGAACCACAACTGGAATTGGGATCGGGACCGGGATCGGCACCGGAGCTGGGATTGGGTCTGGCATCGACACTGGAGCTGTGACCGGGATCGGGATTGGAGCTGGGATCGGCACCGGAGCTGGGATTGAGACCGGAGCTGGCATCGGAACCGGGATCGGATCTGGGACCGGGACCTTGTCCGGAGCCGCCCCGCAGTGTCCCGGCCCGCAGTGTCCCCGGCACACGGAGCCAGCCCAGCCGCGATGGCAGCAGCCGAGGTGAGCGCGATCTTTGCTTCCCCGGGGGTGTCCGGGGGTGTCCGGGGGTGCTCAGCCGAGCGAAGCTGGCCCGGAGCCTCCTCTTGCCTCTGTCTCCCTGGGAGAGGCCGACTCGTGCCTGGGACTCAGGCGCTTCCCAGCAGCTTGGGTAAACACTGCTCGGCACAAAAGCTGCATTTTCAGTTTCCTTCCCTGCCCAGACGTGACCAGCCATCCCGGCGAGTTCACTTCCCGCTCTCCAAATCGCTGCTCCCCTTTCCTGTCACTGCCAGGCTGCTCAGCCACCTCTCCAAAGAGTCCTGGACACGCCTAAAATGAATTTTTCAGCTTTGATTTCTTCATTGTAAATGTGTATATTAAAATGTTGCTGCTGATACATTTCTTGCTTTGATGGGAAGCTTTAAATACTGAAGTTATACCTGGATATTCCTGGTCCAGTCAAGTGCTGAACCTCTGGAATGGCCTTTAATTTAGCATTAATTTTGCTCCTGGGGGCACCAAATGAGTGTTGAGGAGCTCTAACACTTCTTTTTCAATTCTGATTCCCCTCTCTGCCTTCCCTCAGCTTTCTAACAAAGCTGCCTTTTACACATGGCTACACTCTCAGCTCTGCAGGCTCTCTCCTGTTGTCCTTTCAGGCACAGGGGCATGGAAACAGTCACCAGGGAAAACATTTTTAAGGTTACTCAACAGTGTTTTGTCTGGCTGGTAAAGCCCTGGTACAGATCAACTTCCAGCTGTCCTGCCAGCTCCTTGCTGTCCATGGTAGTTAGAGTGACCAGCATGAGAAGAAATTTGCCAGTGGTGTTTAAAAAATCAAGTAGATTAATAATTATCCACTGTGCCATGCAGCTATATTTAATCCCTTCCTTCAGGTGTCCTCCATTTCTTTTTTGTGCCTGGTAGCACTGGAGAACTGCTTTTGAAATCTTGGATAAATCATCTCTGCCAAAGCAAAATTCTTACCCGCTTCAGTGCAAGTTTGGCAGAACTAAAACTTGTTGGCTTGTCTTACCTGGGCAAGCAAAAAGCTTCTGAGCAGGTGACACAGCTCAGGTGAATCACTGCTGGAGAAGCTCCCACACAACATACGCCCTGCTGTGGGGCACAGCTGGAGCCCTGCACAAGCCTTTGGTCACTGCCTGAAGTGGGTGACACATTCCAGGGGCTGAGGTCACCACAGGAATCCTGCTTTGGATGGGAAAACCCCACTTTTGTTTTTGTGCTGGCCCACAGCTCTTTGTCAGTCAGAGAAGAATCTCTGTGTTAAACAGCACAAAAAGGATTTAGAGGATATTAATTTCACTCTAATCCTACTGACTGATTAATTTTTCCTCCCTTTACAAGGCCTGAAAACAGAAATCTCTGCTGGTCTTGCATCTTGATATTAATTTCAAGGACTCCCAGCAGAGTCCTGCAGAGGCAAAATATCTTGGAGGGTTCCTGGGCCAGACCTGGGAGCTCAGGGGTAAATAACACTGGCAGTGATGTGTTCTGCAGCTCTTCAACCACTTGCCTGAGGTCCTGGAGTCCAGGGGACTTTCTGGTCAGTGCTGTGACACTGAAGGGAGCTGAGCATGGCCTCTATATCAGATAAATAGATCACTGGATATTATTTACTGCACAGGATTTATCTGAAGTCATTAGGCCTCTTTAATTAGCTATTTTCTCTCTCAGGGGAATAAACTCTGGGGTGGAAGATTCAGTGGAAGCACAGATCCCATCATGGAGATGCTCAATGCTTCCATTAGCTATGACCAGAGACTGTCTGAAGTTGACATCCAGGGGAGCATGGCTTATGCCAAAGCCTTGGAGAAGTCTGGGATCCTCTCTAAAACTGAGCTGGAGAAGATCCTGGGTGGCCTGGAAAAGGTATTTCTTTCCTTCAAAAATTGTCAGGTGAAGGAATGGCTCCTGACCTGAGAGCAGCCTCCCTGGATTTAATAACTCTTGTGGCTGACTGGTGTTTCTGCTGTTTGCAGATCTCTGAGGAATGGTCCAAGGGAGTGTTTGTGCTGAAACAAACTGATGAGGATATCCACACTGCTAATGAGCGCAGGCTGAAGGTTTG